CAGCAGATGGCTATGAGAGGTGTTAAAAAGGCATTTTCTGTTTAGTAGCTAATAATTTAGATTTCATGGACTACACCAAATACTGTCAGAAAGGGAACACTCATCATGTCAGTTTCCCAAAGAAAATTCTAATGCTTCATGAAAGTAATGTTGAAAAATCTCTCTTTTGTGACACTAGCTAGAAAATGCAGTCACAAAGCAGATATGGGGCAACACGTATCACAAAAAAATTCTAAAAGAAAACCTCATTATTTTCTAGGTAATACCTTAGATTTTTCAATTAAAAGCTCTTTCTTTGCTTCCAGTTTGCTACAATTGGTGGAAACAGTGGTGTGCAATATAGTAATGAAATACAGTCATTTGCCATGCAGTTTCGGAATCTACATATGACATTTATTCATTTGCTGCAATTACGGATCCACTGCAAACAACTGCAGAAAACGACCATTGTGGAAGGTCATTGGGATAGTACTAAAAATATGTAGCTTTATTTTAAGATAAAACCTTTGGAATAAGTTTAGGATAAATGTATAACTTTAAAATGAGGCGGTACATGGGGAAGACTTGTGTGAGATCTGGATTCTGTTTTTACATTAGTGAACCACAGCATAGGAAACAACGAAGCAGGGCAATACCATTGTTTGGCACACTGTCCGACAGCAGGTATGGCACTAGCCATGTGGCTTCTTCATCCCACCCCAGTCATGCCATCCACGTGCAGGCCGCTGTGGGTCTGACAGGACAGCCAAATGAGTCAGCTCTGCTCCCAGTGTGGTCCGCTCCATACTTGAGGAATGTTCAGCCTGTGAGATCTGACTGCTCTCCGGGCCCTTTACAAAACCAGAGCAGGGCAAAAGGGTTGGATTTCTTAGAGAGAATCTGGCCTACAGCTTCTTAGAGACAGATTAACCTCAGTTTGGCATCAAACTGAGGACACGCACAGTCTCATTCTTCACACCTAATCCAAGATCAACTCAGCCTATACTATTTTATCATGAATTAATACTGTGGCAGTAGCATCTTTGAACATACACACACACAGAGGCTCTGAAGTTTTCTTTTTGCAAAGCGCGTTTGAGCTCCTATTATGTACAACAGAGTTTGTACTGAATTTTTTCTCTAGAGGAATACTCATTCTCTTCAAATGCAAACCAAAACAAACAAAAATACATCCTCCCACCCAAAACCCTATGTGTGGAGTGGGAAGCTGATTTTGCTTCCTTTGTATGCAACTGACAGAAAATACCGAACAGGACAGGCCTGGCCCTGCTGCAAACTAGTATTGCTGCTTTATTAGGAAATAGTTCTTTGTAAGCTGGGAGACATAAAGCTTTGATAATCCTGAGTGCTGGTGAATGAAATGTGGGCACGGTTTTCTAATGCGAATGCCATACACTGTGCAATATACATCCACAGCATTCTTGGCAGCCTGCTGCTCTGCGAATCCTGGCTTTACCGCGGGCTGAAACATTCAGGGGAATGGTGTACAAACTTAAGATGAACCTTTAGAAGCTGAAAATCTTCTTCTGTCTACAACTCTCTCTTACAATCACAGTCTGAGCAGCTTGTGATTTAGACGAATTTATCAGGTAAGTCCACAGGTTGCTGTTAAACATGTAAGGGATAAAGGAAATACAAATAATTACATTCTCCACACACCTTTTGTTGTTGCACTGAACACTCGGAGAACATCATGTTGATTCTTATTACTTATTCTGATTCTTATTCTATTTTCACAATAAGTCAGGGCTCAAATTAAGGGCAGCAGTTCATAGTTCCAGAAATTGTACATGTAGGTTGGAGTTATATCGAACTCCTTTGAGTTTCCCAGCCACTTAAAATATATGTTAACATCCTGAAAGAGACTCTTACAGTGAAATTATTTTTTTTCCCAAACTCACTAAGGTCTCAGTAAACTTTCTCAAATCTAAGGCCAAGTACCCTGCATGTGAATACGGTTTTTTGGAGGCCACATGAGGTTACTGTTAAAAAAGGAGAGGTCAGATATTTTGGAATGAAATGTAACCCCTGTAAGGGCACGCCTGAAAGTATTTAACTTTAAACCATATTTAAATCAAAGCAATTTCGTAACAGTGCTTACATGTTTGTAGCATTTATTTGTGATATTTGCCCTCCATGTCTCCACTGCTGGGCTGTCAGTAGTAAGAACTCATCACACACAGCAAACACTGATTAACAGTTCTTTAATAGGCCAATGTTTAATGTGGTCAGAATTTAATTCCTTTTTATTTCCTGGTCCTAAAAGCTCAGATAAGTGGGGTTTCTATCCCAGTGCTACAGAACAGCTTTCCTTAGTAGAAATTGTTGTATTTGTCTATGAACCAAAATCTCCTCTCCTCTCTTCAGTAATTTCAATCACAGGCTTTCCCTCTCTGTTTGGTTTGCTAAATAGGATTATCATCATTAGCTTCTTAGCATATTCCCTGCCCTCTCTTCTTCTACACATGCATTACTGCTTCCTTTACTGCTTCAATTTCTCTCATTTTCAGGTCCATCTCCAAACAAATACTTTGGGGTCCATATGAGACGCTCAGTTGTCAGGGTAGTTGGATAGATACTACAGTCCTCTTAAAAAAAAAAAAAGAAATGACCTCTTAATTTTAGTTATGGTATTGCTGCAGCAGCAGGTTTTACAAACTACATGAAAAAAACAAATGCAGAAATTCTGAGAAACAGCTTCCGAGAAGAATGTAGTCAGATTTTAAGCAAAAACAGTGATTATTCAGTCTTCCCTGTAATTTCCAACAGTGTGGGAAAACAACAATCCAGATTATTGAATGCTTCATCACAGACTCCTGATTGGGAGAGAAGAAAAATCTACCAATTTCTGTGCAAACAGAGGTATTCACTGATCTTCTCTTATTTGGTAGTTTCCTAATTCAAAGATTTGGGGGATCCAATCAAGAAACTGACCCAATATCATGTGAAACACAGACCATCTGCACACTCCAAATGCAAAGACAAGAAACGTTGGGGTGTCTGAAACACACAGATGTCCTCCGCACAGATGAAGCTTGCTCCCATCTATTCAGAAAATACATAATATCATTAATACAAGACCGAATTTGTTCATGAGAGAGCCACAAATAAAAGAAAGGACTACACTGTTTACAATGGCCCGAGCAGTTCAGAGAAAAGACTGATTTTACTGAGTTTGGCAGTAGGAGCATTATGATCAAATTACTAGAATTTTTCTTGTGTTGATTGTTAATGAGATTAGTTGAGCAAAAAGAACAGCAGGTATGAAGCCATACTAGATCTTTATGGAAATATACAGGATACATTTTACACTTCACCAGAAAACAGTTGATTTCAATTGATGCCAATGTTTTGTGTGGATTTGTTTGGTGGTGTCTCAGGCACAGCCTCTAAAGGTATCTGTAAAATTAAAAAAATATTTTAAGCACAATATAGTAGTCTATGGGAATAAAATATGTGGACTGATTATAACGCAAGGATTTATTCAAGATACTTTATTCTTGTACTGTTTTAGATGCTTTGTGTGAAGGTCTGCTGTTTTGCCTACCATAAATCCAGTCTCAGTCTCAGAATTCTCTGAAATGGCTATATATACGTTTCATTTCTCCTTAGTGAGTCTCGTATCTGTAAGCAGGGGAGAATAAAGATGCAATTTTAAGCCCAGTATCTTCCAAGGGCAAGCCGTTCTGACAGGTAAGATTATTGCTGTATGACACCGCTGTTTCGTGAGCGGCAGAAAACACAGCCGAGCTCTGGGAGAGAGGCAAAGCCTCAGCAGCCCCCGGCACTGCCCCCCCCCGGCAGCCAGGCGCTCCTGGCCGGAGGGGCCACCGTGTCACAGTCACGCCCTGCA